TTCATGAGAAATAACTTTGAAGTGCAATAATTCCATTGTAATATGAAATAATGGAGAAAGTGCAATACAGTTTATTTATTCACAAATAATCCCCTCATATGCCAAATTTATGTACTATCGATTGAAAAATATAAGTTAGTAAATTAAACCGGTTATTTCAGTACTTTTTCTCTTATCAATTTTTTGCGGGCCCTTCAATAGAGCGGTAAAGGTGGCTGATTCCCTGCTAAAGGGTTGGATTCGTGGTTTTTTTCTATGTGTAACATAAATACAAGCCAGTTTCCTTTAGAAAGTCCTTCCTTTTATATAGCTAATTGTTGTGTGCTTTGGTGTAATTCAGTAAGCGAACAAAATTAATCCAATCAAACTCAGAGAACGGGTTGATTGCATGTGGAATTTTCCATCAGGAACGTAAATGCAAGCTATTTTCTCTTGAAATGGTTTACACAAAAGCATCCACGCCCTTAAGCAGATAGTGTTCGCATGCTTTTCCATAATCTAATCCTAATTTTCATACATTTAATAATAAGTCGGCATACATCTTATTACAGACAAAATAACATTCATTTTTTAAAGTTAAATTTTTTTATTAACTTGCCTGAATTCTCTTTATCTCTTGAGGAGTATTAGAATTTCAGCAATTAAAACTGGTCGAAATTTTATGCAAAGTAACTGATGTTTTGATTCAATTTAGAAGTTACGTGAGCTTTAATGATATTTAAATGCTTTGGAAGATATCATCATAAAAGAGGGTCTAAAGATAAATTGGTTTTATTTAATTTACAATGAATGAAAATCACAAAAACTATTATGCATGCGATTGTCTCTTATTTATCTCCTGATAGATCAGACAAAATAGCCTACATAATAGAAGCATTTCAAAAGAGATAACAGTTCTTAAGGGTTTTATATACTCCAAAAAAAGGGCCAAAATAACATTATTCATAAATATAAAAAGGAACTAAACGATAAAAGCGGTTTTACCTGTTTTCTAAAAGGCCATTAAATCTAAAATATTAATCTAATCTTATTTGCTAAGATTAAAAAGCATTAAATATGGTAAGCGTGCAAAATTAAACAGCGTACAAAATCACTGAAGTTTTTTAATCATATGTAGGTAAGTTGAAAAATAAGTTTCCCCTGTCGACTGTGGTCAGATTTGTGTATGAAAGTCAAAAAATAGAATGAGACATTAAAGATTTCCACATAGGTACCAAGTACATTGAGACATTAGTCATATCGCTTGATAAGCTTCAAAAAGCCCTCCAGGAAAAAATCAGGGCTTTGCATATGGAAGAAGCATTGAACGGCTTGTTTCACTTCAGTATTGCTTCCAAAGTGCCTTCCCCCGAGATTTTTCTTCAAAGCCAGAAACAGATGGAAGACGCTTGGTGCGAGATCAGGACTGTATGGCGGATGGTGTAGGCGCTCCCAACCAAGAGTTGCAATATGGTTTTGCGTTGCCGTCGCCGAATGTGGTCTGACATTGTCATCCTACAGCAGAACGGCCCACCAGCGGCCGAGCGGTAAAATCGCTGAACACTGGAAGTTCGGTCCGAGGTTCGAATCCCGCGAACGGGCTGGCTGCATGGGCGTTTCCACATGTGTAGCGTATATACGAGCCAGTTCCCCTTAGAAAGTCCTCCACGAAGGCATCCCTCCTCTTAGGCAGATAGCCCTCGAGGCTTTGCCATGTTATCGCACACACACCAACAGCAGAACGCCAGATGTGAGAAGGCCAGGCCGCTTTTTCCGAATCGCCTCTTTCAATTTCGACAGGGTGTCACAGTAGCGCGTAGCATTGATGATTCCAACCTCCAAAAAGTCCAGCAACAAAACTCCTTGGGCGTCCCAGAAAACTGTGAGGAGCACTTTATCTGCAGAGGGAGTTGTCTTGAACTTCTTTCGGACAGGTGATGACGGATCTTTCCACTCCATAGATGCGGCCTTCGATGCTGGCGGTGGACTCACGTTTCATCTCCCATCACAATCAGAAACAGAAAGTCATTGCCATCTTCATGGTAACGCACGAGATGTTCCAGGCTGACCCCCGTGCATTGTTCCTTGTGTGGCGAGGTCAATTGTCGGGGTACCCATCGTGCTGACACTTTTCTGTATCGAAGATTGTCGTGGAGGATGTTTTGAGTTCGCTCATGCAAGATTCCAAGTTCTTCCACTACTTCATCGATGGTGATACGCCGGTTCGCTCTAATCATGTCATCCACCTTCCTGACATTTGCATCTGTAGTGGCCGTGCACGTCCGTCCAGCTCTTGGTATGTCCTCTACTTGCTGACGTCCATCACTGAATGTGCGACACCATCTCCGCACCATTTGCTTCGACATCACACCTGGCCCATAGACTTCCACGAGGCGGTTATGAATTTCTGTTCCTGATACTCCACGTGCCCATTCATAGTGGATAACCGCTCTCACTTCCTCCTTTGACCATGAATTCAAAACGCACCTTCTCTCCATACCTACTGTGGCTCAAATGAGAGGCTGGTCTCTGCTTTGTGCAGGCACTGCAACAGCGCCATCTGCTTGATTTGCAGCGACCTCTACCCAATGGTGTATCGGTGACTTGCGCGTTTTCCTGCTGTGTCGCCTTTCGCCCATAGCCGTTCAACGCTTCTTCCATATGCAAAGCGTGAATTTTTCTTGGAGGACTTTTTGAAGCTTATCAAGCGATATGACAAATGTCTCAACGTACTCGTACAAGAATAATAAAATAAAGGTATGTCATATCTTTAATGTCTCATTCTATTTTTTGACTTTCATACACAACTCTGACCACAGTCGACAGGGGAAACTTATTTTTCAACTTACCCTCGTAGCAAAAGTTAGTACCTTAATTTCCGGGAGAAACGCCACTACGTTTACTTGTTTAAAACTTAAATTTTCAGCGGGTGCAGCGTTTCTACCCATGCGGCGTTTAGGTGCACTAAAAATAAAATATTTCCTATGATGGTCATTGTACATAGTTTGGATGGCCTTGTCATTGTACATAGACTGTTGCTGTTCCCACACAAAAGACCACTCAGTTGCTTTTTGCGAACATTATTTTGTTTACATTCTTTCCCTTGAATGGACCTACATGCCTTATTCACCCTAAACGGGATCTCAGAACAATAACATTCTTCCCCCTTTCAAATCAACATTCTCATTCAAGCAAAATTTATAGCAAAACAAATTAACATAAATGATTTCAAAGGAGGGCCTTGCAGATTTATGAAAAGAAAAAATATATTTCTGTGCGTACTAGAACAACAGTCGGGCAACAATTACCAATGGACTGACAGGATAAAAAGGCATCTTTTCTAAAATATGTGACATATATTATTGACAAAAAAAATTTTGGTCACAGATAATAAATATGGATGAAAGGCTGTTAGCTTTTGACTCTCCTGCAAACAGAAGTGTTGATGAAACTGGTGCAAATACTGTATCGGTGCTTACGACAGGGCATGAAAGAACGTCATTTACATGGGTGTTAGCTTGTGCCGCAAACGGTGACAAGCTAAAGCCGATGATCATTTTTAAACGAAAGACTATTCCGAAGGAAGAATTTCCTAATGACGTAATTATTTTTGCAAACGAGAACGGCTGGATATGCGAAACAATCATGCATGAGTGGCTACAAAAAGTTCGGCAGTGTCGTAAGGGATCTTTTTTCCAACCAAAAGGGTTATTGATAATGGATTCCATGCATGCTCATTTACTTGAGTCAGTGAAAAACATATGTCAAAAATTGTCTACGACCATAGCAATAATTCCTGGTGGTTTGTTAAAAATCTTACAACCAGTAGATTTGTCAGGTAATAAATCCTTCAAAGCTGAAGTCCGAAAGCGGTGGGAGTGTTGGATGAGTGAAGGATTGCATACGTATACCAAAAGTGGTAAAATGCGTAGAGCATCTTATGAAGAAGTTGCAAAGTGGGTAGGAATTTGTGGTAAAGTGGAAAAAAATCAGTAAAAAGTGGGTCGTCAATAATAGCATGGAAATGGGAAAACATTCAGTAATAGAAGCTTCAAAGAAAGAAATTATATCCTTAGATAAAGAGACTGTAAACCAAGAGGATGAATGTGACGATCTGGAAGACTTGGACTTAGATCAGGATTTACTAAATCTTTTTAATTCAGATAGTGAAGAATCAGATTTTGATGGCTTCATATGATGTGTAGTATGCTGTAATTCCTTTTGTAAGTAAAATTTTAAATTTCCTTTTGTCATCGAAATTTAATATTTTGTTGCAACATTTTTTATAATATAGTCTGAGTATTACAAATATGGACTTCTTAATGGATAAATATAAGTATATACGTGAACTTAAATATAATTTCAACATTTCTTATTAATTTATTTTTGAGTTATGGTTTCATTTCATGCATTTTTCTTAACTGATATGTCATATATCAGGACTTAGGTTGAGATTTTGCATCTATACAGCCCTTGATGATAACACGTGCAATTTAATCTGTTGTGGCATTTCTGTGCAATTTTAATTCCCCCCCCTCCTATTTTTCTCAAGTGTGGCGTTTCTGCTGATGCGGCCTTTCTTCCAAAAATTACGGTACTAAAAAAGTTCTAAAAGTACTAAAATTATGAGGCAGTGCTTTAACATTTGAGAAAGAGATAGCTTCTGTTTGATTTTCAAGTATATTGGCACGAGACCAAACCTGCAGTTTTTGCCAAAATGTTGCTAAACTGATAAGAAGAGGGGAAACAATGTGTAGCCAGCGGCTATTCTGAGCAGCGACAATGGACCACCCAGAGATCTACAGATAGGCGATTACTCTGAAATAGGGAGGGGACTGCTGGTATGACACTTGTACCACAGCCGGCATTAAAGAAAGTCATTTTCCCAGTGCAACTGCTGAACCACCGGGTTTAAAAAGTTAAACCTTTTATTGATATTTATATTTTATTAATTGGTAAATGAATGATAAGATATTATTTTCTATTTTTATTAATATCCTTAATATTCTTCCTTCCACAAGCTTTGGAATCTTGCCTTTGTCTACGCCAGTGACAAGTCAAGATAACGATACGCCATCTTGTGACAAATTGACCATTAAAAAGGTATATATTTTGTATTTCTCATTTCCATTTTCTTGTATTTTAATTTTCTACAATTTTTATCACTTTGCTGAAGTATATATATATATATTTTTTTAAATTTTGTTATCTTTTAAAGTAAAGTTCTTTCTAAAACAAAATTAAGTGAATTTTTATTTAGTATGAAGTACCAATGCAGTAAAGATAATAAAAATAATTTATTTTTTATTTTGAAATAGCTACCACTCGTAATAAAAAAATGGCAGATTTTTGTCCCTGCAGAAGTTTTTATACAAAATTATTTTTTCGGCCCAGGAAAGCTGATTCCTGGCTACATATTTATGAAAGTATTCATTTTTACCTTCCACGTAAAAAGAATTTTTCAGTATCACTAGGTCTGGGTTTGAATTTCAAAAAATGCTTTTCTGCTTGAGCATTTCATTATTTTCACCATGTGTTAGAACCACTTTCCCTCAGAAAGTCCTCCATTAAACTCCAGTTTCAGTATAAAATATTGAGCTATTCTGATTTGAATTTGAAAAACACAATTGTATATACGATAGCCAAAGGTTAATCTTTGCATCTGCGTTATATTCACCTCAGAAATGTTGAAAGGTTTAAAAAAAGAAATAAAAAAAATGGCCTGCACAAGTGATCATGGAGTAACTAGTAATTTGTATCAGATTAATGCTTAGTAGTTGAACAGGCTTGTTGTGTAACTGCTCAGTTAGCTTTCCCTTATGTGTAAAATAAATATGACGTTTCTTATAAAAAGACTATCTTCCCTTTGCAACCAGATGGCCCAGAAATATTTTGTCATAAGTAAGTTTTTCATTTTCATGCAGGTTATAATTTTATGTAATTCTTTTATAGAAAAAATGAGTCTATAAAATCACAAACTGTGATTCATTCTTGGTTCTGAATGGTTCTGAATATAAAATAACATTGCTTTTTCAACAAAAGTTAATTCTGAGAATTAGTAGAAAATGTTTCTAAATTTTTTAATTGTTATTGCAATTGACTCTCGTCAAGTTATCCTAAAAATGCAACAGAATCTTTAAAAAATACTATTAGTGGAAGATTTTAGTCTGTGATTTAAAAAAAAAAAAAAAAAAAAAAAAAAAAAAAAAAAAAAAAAAAGCTGTAAGATGGTAAAGCATTTGTTCTGTGGCACACAAAATGTTAATATTAAATTGATCAGTTTTTTGGTTTTCAGCTTACAATATATTTTGTGAAATAAGTTTAGAACTAAGATCAGTTTTATAAACTGAAATTTTGAAATTAAAACTTTAATTGCTTACATAAGCTCTTTATTATTATTTGTATCTTTGAATGTATTCATCAGCTTATAAAAGCAAGCATGTTGGAACTGAAATTGCTGCAAATTTTAAAAAATATATTTCTTCAAATGTGTTACTAAAAACTGCAGTATTTCTTTAAATATGCTGCTGTACATTTTGAGCCAAAAGTAATTTTTAAATCACATCACTAACTTCATCAATTCTGAAAAATGCATATAACAGCATGAAACACATCACTATATTTCATCAGTTCTGAAAAAATGCATATAACAGCATGATATTTAGTCAACCTTTTTTATATGTGTGTATTTACTTATTTAGACTCCTATGACAAGAAGAAGCCAAGATTTAAATCCTCCAAAATTTCAAATTTTTAGTCAGTCTGGGAACAACAACAATAGTAATACTGGCTTATCGCAGACGCCTCAAGCTAGGTAAAGTAACTATTTTTTCGAAATTTATAGTTGGCTTAAATTTTTCATGTTAGTAACTATCTATCATCCAGTCGGTTATCCTGTCTTTTAAACTGCCAAGAAATATCTTTTTGTGTTGTAATCTTAAATTTTTCTCATAACTCAAATTAAATCAAAAATAATTATATGAAACTTATATATAGTAGAACTCTTCCGAGCTTTCATTAACCAAGGTTCCGTGTTATCTGAGCCCAATCAATAAATAAAAAAGGTGTGAATAAAATAGCCTTGCTCAAAAGGTAAACAATCTGTTGACTTGGGTTGTAGCGGTAATTCAAGAACCCCGTCGTTACCTTGTGTGAGCTCAGTAGCCTCGCTTCTTGCATGCTTTGAATTTAAAATCAATTGGTTTTTAGTTTCTGCACCGGAGCCAAAGTGCATAACTAGTTGTGCAACAACAAAGCAGCGGGAAGAATTTTAGCCGTTTCGGGGGCAGGGGGGTGGGCTATGATGACTGCTTCTTGAACAGGTGTTGTTTTTTCACTAGAAGAAAAGCTTACTGCTATTAATAGGCTAGATCATGGTGAAACGATTAAAAAGAGGTGGTTTGGGGTTTAGGTGTTGACTGGAGAAGGAAAACGGAGGTCACGGTAAAGTGGGCGACTCAGATTGCATACAAGAATGGAGATAATGCCACAAATAAAAAAAAAAAAAAAAAAAAAAAAAAGTGAAAGAACAATAATGAACAGATGTCAGAAGCATTGTTTTTATTGTTTCAGCAAATGAGATGGGCTTGAAGTCCACTATCTGGTCCAGTATGACAAGCTAAGGTTTTGAACTTTTTCCAGCTTTGGCGAGACAATGTAAGCATTAATGTAAAGAGGAATTCACCGCTAGCAGAGGTTGGTATGATAGTTGGAAAAAATTATAGTGTGTATGACAATTAAACATTGCAGGAGATATTTTTCATCTAACTCAGGTGCAGTGACTTATAAAAGCAAGCATGTTGGAACTGAAATTGCTGCAAGTTTTAAAAAATATATTTCTTCAAATGTGTTATTAAAAACTTCAGTATTTCTTTAAATATGCTGCTGTACATTTTGAGCCAGGATTGAAAAGGTCACTTTATTAACAAATTGGATAATATTGAGGTACACAAACTAGGACAGCAAATTTATAGCTGTGACAAAACAGGTGTGAATTTCAAAATGCCAAATAGACACTATTATACCTGATTCAGCGTTTAGCCAAGGCATCTTAGAAAACGTAAAACAAAACTAGGTTCTTGATATTGTTGGAAGATCTAGCAAATAACAAAACAATTGTTGAAATCCTAAAACGGGTTAATCTGAAATTACTGGCTGGGAGAATCTTGGAAATATGTGAAACAATCTACCATTTGAAAAGCTTGGAAAATATTTTGCCAAACAACAATGACACAAACTAAAAGAGCAGATGATGAAGAATTAGTGGCTATCTAAAACCAGCTACAAGTTACAGAGGCAATAATGAATAAAGATGTGCATGATTGGATGCAAGATGATGAATAGTTTTTAACTGTCATATGAGGCCATTGTAAATTTATTCATGCACAATGAAAGTTTCTATGATGAAGACATGAGAATTGTTAAAACCAAGATCAGTCACTCAGAAAGGGGATTGAAAAGGTGCTGCTGTAAGACAAACACATCACCAGCTGACCATATTACGACATCTACAGTGGGGAAAATGTAAGGCAGCACAACGAAAGAGAAGGCTGTTATTATTATTTTTTTCTTTTTTTAATGTGTGGTATGTTATGTTTACATATAACATCTCATTTCTACTACAGGTGTGTGTTTTCAAGTTTATAGTAGGTATACAGTACAGTTTATAGTAGGTACTGAGTGTATATCTACACATTTGAACATACATATGTTTTATATTGCTATATACCTGCATGAATTCATTATGTTAGTAAATTTCTTATAGTTGGTACAATAAGACTAAAAGTATTAAAATTTTTTTGTATTAATCCATGTTCTCCGAGTTAGCCTGGTACACGTTAGCTCAGATAATCGATGTTCTTCACTAATTCAGTTTTTTTATTATTATTATTATCTAAGATAGATGTTAATATATCTTTTTTTAATGGAGGGCAGTTGAATAATCAATAACTAGTAAGAGGATGAAAAGTTGTACTCATATTCGATGAATTTGACCAACATATGTATATAAAAACCTTTATATATTTTCATATTATAATTTATTTTTCTTTAAATTATATTTTTCTTTTTTTTTTATATGAATAATTTTAAAATTAAGCTAAATGCAATTTGAAATTGTATAGTTTTAGAGCAAAGGATATGCTTCCCTTCAAATAATTGGAATTTTTGTATAAAATTAGCCTCATTCTGATGTTTTTTTCCTAATTTAAATTTAAAAATAGTGAACTCTTCTGGTAAATTATATTAAAATTTTTTAGTCTTATTTCATGTAAACTCTGGTAATTATCTCTTCCCCAAAGGAATTTATCAGGTAAAATTTATTGTTTGCATGGAAATGATGCTATATTTCTGTGTGCTCACCTCTATAACACACTAGTTCCAGCTCTTTACTGTAGAAGAATAAAAGTCTTTTGACTGCATGCTATATTTGAATAATGTCAAGAACTTGCTCTTTAGACCTGAATTTCTTCCTAAAAATTCTTCCTCCAGTGAACTGCTGAGATGAGTGTCTAATTAGACATGTTTTTTAAGTCTGTAATAAATTTTAGACAGAATGTTATATTCATTTGTAAAAAATGATAATTTGTTGTATGATGCTATTATCAGGCTCTTACTGCTACATATTGATTGCAGCTAAAAAGATTGATGGAAAGAGAAACTAGTTGTACTATTAACAAGTGTAAACATGTAATATATGTTTACTCATTGTGTCATGATTATATTCAAATCTTTACATAGCGAAACAAGAAAATTCCTTTTATCAGGGCATCGCCCGTGTATCTAAATCTTGTTCTGTAAAATGCATTTAATTAAGATTATATAATACTCAATGTGCAGTTGTCAAATATTTAATATTGATTGTTTGAAATGTCAGTTTTTTATTTTGTGTACAATTTTATAGCCTCCCACCAGTTGCCTTGAGTAATGTGAGGAGAAGTTCTAGACTTTTTAGCAGTTCTAATTCTGTAAAAGAAAACAACAAAAGCTCTACTAGGACTAGGTTTATTTCAACAAAAACACCTACAAAGAAAACAAAGGCACGTACATCTCGAACTTCTATTACGGAGCCAAAGGAAAGTGAACTGAATGAAATCAATAAACCAGAAATTCAGTGTGAAAATAAGTTATCAAATTCTGTTACAATAATGCAGGCAGCTCTGAGCATGCAGAAAGCATCTGCAGGTAAGCTTTTTATATTTGTGTTGTTATTTTTTATTTTTATTTATTTAGTTAGTGTGGTGTCCCCCCCCCCAATAGCCCAAAGCCGAGAAGAGCTTTTAGTTTCAAAATGGCGTTTTGCATCAGTTCACTACAAAATCTCCATTTCAATTTTCAAATTGCTGCCAACAAATATTATTTGAAAAGTTTTCATGAATGTATGTATGTTTTTCACATTATGAAAAACAGCGGTGCCTAGAGCCATCAAGTTTTGAATAGCGTAGTCCCCCACCCAAATGTGAGCAACTGGAAGTATTGTCTTTCTCATATTTTGTAAAACTTGAACGAATTTTTGATTAACAAACTTAGTAATTTCAAAGCAATTGCAACACTTCACAAAAAAAAAAAAAAAAAAAAAAAAAAAAAGAAACACCTCCAGCATGCGAGACATCATATTTATCGGAAATTGTACAGATATGCTGGTTTTAAACAGTTTTAGACCAAACGCTCACAAAATGTGTATATGTGTGTAAATAAAAATAGCCCCTCTGACATAATATAAAATCTGTAAGCTATCTTTTTTTTAAAAATTTTTATTATCCACTCCCCCACCAGCGCAAACGATAAAGTCACCAATAATGGTACAACTTATGCCAAACGGAATATCTTCGCTGGTAACCTTTTACGCTTCATTTTCAAAACAAATCGCAGCCATTTCTTATCAGATTGATTGTTTGTTTCAATACTGGCATACAATGACATAGAAATTTTACAAAATATAGTTAAATTTTATACCCTAAGACCATTTGTGGTAATTAAGTCAATTAGGATGCAATCACACCTCTCATCTGAAGACAAAAATTTAGAAAAGGCAAAATTAAGGGTTAAATTCATCAATTCTAATGAGAATGCACTAGCAAGTAAAGAACTGTGATTTTATATAATTTCTGAGTAAGCTATTCATACAAATTGAAATAATTCTTTCATTTAAACTTGTATTCCAAATTAAGATTTAACTTGAAATTACTGAGATGTAGATAATTACTGAGAGAATTATGTTTTTGTAGCATAGTTTAGTTTACGTGAGATGAGATCACTTGGGGTCACGAGATATGAACCGGCGAATCAGAATGTTGAACCATGAAAGCATAGTAAATTCTTAGATTAATGTCTTTTTATAAATTTATTGTCTTTATTTATTGGCATTTTACAAAATTTTAAACCATATTAAAATGTTTATGCCTTCAAAATAAAAAATTCTTAGAACTAACATTCGTTAGCATTTTTTATGTATCTACTGTATGTTGTCGCCAACAAAGTCTGCTTGGCGAGATTTGCGCCGGCAAAACGGCAAAGTACCAATTTATGCATAGCACGATTCTAACATAGGTATTTTGACACAAAATCAGACTTTTTCTGAAATAAAATACTAATTTTTTTACGTATTTCTATTCTATGACTCAAATCATGTGCAAAAAAATCGGTGCAAAATTAACGGAGAAATTAAAAAATTTGTCTTGGTGAGCCTTTTTTTTTTTTTTAGTTTGCACCAAGAATAGTTCACTTGGCGAACTTCTTAATGTATAGCAACCTAGTTCCCTTTCCCTTTTTACATTGTGCATGTGAGGCGAAATAAAGTGACATTCGTCTTTCTTTCAAATATTTTTCTTTATATTATATTTTTAATTATAATTGTTATTATTTTAAACATTTTTTCTTTTTCGAATTATTTAATGTGTAGTTGCAGGTTTCATTGTTAGATTCAACGTAAGTTAAAAAGGTCTGTTATTTTTTAAATAGTTTTTCATATATAATCAAATTTTCCGACCTCAACAAGTTTGTTTTGGTATGGCTGACCACATTGCACTTTTCACCACTTTTTTGTTTTGGGAACAGTTTAAATCTTCTATAGATGCCAATCCACATCTTTCTGTTATTGATAAACATGTTTTCCTCAGAGGTTATTTAGATGGTGAAGCTAAACGCCTTGTTGATGGAATTAGTGTGTAATAGGAGACACCTATGAAACAACAAAAAATTGTTGGAGGAAAGATATGGAAATAAAGATCGAATTATCCAATCACACTTAGATTACTTAGAACATTTAAATGTTATTCAAGACCCATCTCCTACGCATCTAAATGATCTTTACATAGAATGTAACAGAAGAATTCAAGCTTTAACTGCTCTGGGTGAAAATATTGAAGCATACGGTAGAATCCTAGTGCCAAAAATTATTCGTGCATTCCCCAATGATATTTGTTGCCGCTGGATTATCTATGCCAAGCGTGAAAAACTAAACGAAGGTAATATTACTAGATTGATGCAGTTCTTGGCAGAAGAAGTGGAAGGTGTAGTTGCAGCACAAAGAGTTAAAGGTACGTCTTTTTCTGATCACACCGTAAAGTGCACTGTAGAAAATTTTAATATCAATTCCAAAACAGTAAACAAACGTAAGAAAATTTCACCATTTTGTTCATTTTGTGATACTACAGGACATTGGCCTCAATATTGTGAAACTGTTACAGACTATGATACTCGTGTTCAGAAACTTAAAACTTCAAATCGCTGCTTTCTGTGTACTAACCGTGGTCATAGAGTTTCAAACTGCCCAAGAAAAAATACTGCACGGTGCACTAAATGCAAGAAAAGGCATCATGTTTCTATTTGTCCTCCTGTTGAAAACAATCAACTGCGGATAACTAACAGTGCTGTAAATCACATAACCTTTCCTAAAACAATTTTCACACATTTGCAAACTGCTCGTGTGTATGTTACTGGCCCCACAGGCATTACTAAATTAACACGCTGCATTTTAGATGGTGGTAGCCAAGCAAGTTTTGTTCACACAAACCTCATTGAAAAACTTAAGCTTAAAGTTGTCAGTTCTGCCTCACTTTCAGTTCAAGCATTTGAATCTTTTACTTCACAAGAACAACGTAGATGTGTTCAACTGTCACTTTCAAGTTTGTGGAGCAACCAAGCATTTTTGATCTCCGCATTTGAAAGCTCCAATTCCTATACTACACATCCTACTGCTCCACCAGAAATAGTTCACTTTGCTCAGAAGAAAAGATTGAGAATTGCTGATCCTCCGGATGACTCTTCACTGCCCATAGAAATACTTATTGGTGGTGATCATTATTGGCAAATTGTTTCCGCACAGAAGCTCCAATCAAGCTTTCAGAATCTTTTGTTATGGTACCGTCAGTGTTTGGATGGGTTCTTAGTGGAACAAGAACACATACTACAATCGCTGAGAAGACTTCTGTCCATCAAGTTTGTGTGCAAGTTAAAACTGATTGTTTAAATGATCAGGTACGTCGCTTCTGGGAATTAGACTCCATAGGGATACAAGATGCGCAGAAACGAAAAATGACTACTCGAGATGAAAATTTTATCAGAATTTCACAAAACTTACAACACTGAAGACAATCGAAGAATTGTGTCTCTGCCTAGAAAACCATTGGTCACACCTTTGCCTACAAACAAAATTATAGCGGAAAACAGATTTCATTCTCTTCAAAAAAGACTTGCATCTAGTGATGTGTTAAAGACACAATATGACAAATGCATGCTGAATTACATTGAACAAAAGCATGTTGAAGTTTGTTCCATAGATGAATCCAATGAGAAGCCAGTATATTACCTTCCTCATCATGCTGTAAGAAAGAAAACGCAATCTGAAACCAAGTGGAGAATTGTGTTTGATGCTTCCTCGCATGCTCCAGGAATGATTTCACTGAACGATACCTTGGAAGCTGGCCCGAATCTTCTTCCTGAATCTATTGGTTGTCTACTAAGATTTCGATTGCATGAATTCGCTGTTACATGTGATGGTAAGCAAGCTTTTTTACAGTTGTCACTACATAAAGAAGATAGGGACGTCACAAAATTTTTCTGGTACAAATTAAAATCTGATTCATCTCAACCTACTACTTTTACAGATGAAATAACTGTTTACAGATTTACTCGTCGTTTACCATTTGGCCTTACTTGCAGTCCGTTTTTACTCTGTGCTGCGACACGAGAATTGGCTGCAAAACATATCGCAGAATTTCCAATTGCTGCACCAATGATAGATAAACATCTCTATATGGATGACTTTCTTGCTAGTATGGAAACTGAATCACGCATTATAATGCTATATCACGAGATCAAGAATTTAATGGCTCTAATGAAATTGCCTATGGAAAAATGGGCTACAAACTCTTTGAAACTCAAAGATGTACTACAAACACATGAAGAATCTCACAAAACGGAAACAACTGTCTTAGGTATTGGCTGGAATACAAATTCTGATACTTTGAAGCACATCATTCAAGACTTCCGTCTGTGTTTCTACAGACAAACCACTTACAAAGAGATAGTTACACCGCTGCATTGCTAGTTTTTTATGATCCCTTAGGCCTTTTTTCACCGTTTACTATTCTTGGGAAAATCTTATTCCAAGATACATGGATTCTTGGAATCAAGTGGGATGAATTACTACCTGCTAATTTATCAACTTTATGGTATGCAGCTGTGAAAGAACTTGATGACATTTGCTCCCTTCAAATTCCTCGATGCATAGGGATTTCATCACATGTTCCTTTTGCTATTCATGTGTTTTGTGACGCATCTGAACGTGCCTATGGTTCAGTTCTGTACATTGTTACCTTTAAAGGTGACCAATCGAATGTGAATTTAGTGTGTAGTCGCAACAAAACTAGCTCCTATAAAGAAAGTTACCTTACCTTACCTCGTTTGGAGCTCTTGGCGGCCCTGATGGGAGCACGATTGTTGCAATATTTCTGTGCTGAAAACAACATCTGTTCGTCAAATGCAACATTGTGGAGTGATTCTCAAGTTGTCTTAGGGTGGATACGCAGTGACCCCAACAAATGGAAAACTTTTGTTAGCAACAGAGTAACAGAAATTATTTCCTATACCAATCCTTCACAATGGAGACACATGCCCTGGCAAAGACAATCCAGCTGACAAACTTTCTCGAGGTGTTTCACCATCAACACTAAAAAACCTGGAAATTTGGTGGAACGGCCCTCCATGGTTAGTCAAATCTCTAGAATATTGGCCTCATTCTGATACTATTTCTCAAGATTACAGTCATAACTTCGAGGCAAAGAAAGAAAAAGTTCAGACCCTTCACATCGTATCTACTCAACCAATCATAAAGGCTGGAAACTACAGTTCTTACGTTCGATTGTTACGTGTGTAACATCTTGGATTCTTCGCTTTATTCACAACTGTAGGAAACAAAAAAAGTTAGTGGGTGAGTTACATGCCACAGAACTGAATCAAGCTCGTATTTATTGGATACAGACCGTTCAGAAAGAATCCTTTCCTTCAGAATATGAAGCTCTGTTGACAGGAAAATCACTCCCTAAGAAATCAAGGATAAAACAATTTAACCCTTTTCTTCAAGAACAATATTATACTTCTTGGTGGTCGACTACAATTTTCTCTGATTTATCTCATGCTGAAAAACATCCCATATTATTGGAAGGTTCTCATCCTTTTACAAGCCTACTGATACGCCAAACACATTTACGAATGCATCATCTTCGGTGTTCGGATTGTACTTTCTTTCTCAGCTTCGTTCAGAATATTGGATATTAAGAGCAAGACAAGCCATTAAAAAGTGATAAAGACTTGCCTTCCATGTAAAGTACTGAAACAAAAGAGAAGTGAACAGATAGAAGCTCCACTTACCAGCTGAGCGAATTCAAAAGTCATCTCCTTTCGAAACTACCGGAATTGATTTTGCTGAACCACTCTACGTAAAAAATAATAACTCTGTTACAAAAGCTTACATTGTCATCTTCACATGTGCTATAACTCGAGCTATCCACTTAGAATTAGTTTCCGATCTGCGTACTGACGTCTTCCTACTTGCATTACAACGTTTTGTCTCTAGACGTTCACTTCCTCATACAGTGTACACTGATAATGCCACAACTTTCTGCGCTGCGGACAAAGAGCTGAAGTTATTGTGGGATACTATATCCTCTGCCAAGGCACAACAGTTTTATGCCCACCACAACATCAAATGGAAATTCATCGCCCCCCCGAGCGGCTTGGTGGGGAGGATGGTGGGAAAGAATGATAGGCTCAATTAAGCGATGCCTTCGGAAAACATTAGGTAAGGCTCTTTTGGATGACGCTGGTTTGATCACTGTATTATGTGATATTGAAGCCGCTCTTAACAGTAGACCGATTGTCCACGAATATGGAATAAAAGATGACTCTGAGGAAGCTTTAACACCCTCGCACTTCCTCATAGGAAAGAAATTAACCACTATTCCTTCCAGCCCCACAAATCCTGAAACAAATTTAAATCATATGTGGAAAAATCGTCAACATTTGATGGACTCCTTTTGGAAAAGATGGCAAAAGGAATATTTGATGGACTTGCGTACATTTCATCAAGTGCGGAATCCATCTGAAACAAATAAAATACGGAAAGGGGACATTGTCCTACTACAAGAAGATGTTAGACCTCGCCACACCTGGAAGAAGGCCCGTGTTGAGGAGCTAATCCTTGGCCGCGACAAAAGAGTCCGTACTTGTGTTCTGCGCACCAATGGACATACCATTACCCGACCTGTGCAGCTGGTCATCCCCCTGGAGGTTGACCAGGGTGGGGAGGATGTTGCGGCAAAGCCAGCGAACTATTAAAAATAACATTACCCTTTTTGTGAATGGCATCACTTACGTTTTTTGTATTTATAAATGTCTTTTTGCTTGTTCTATACTTCATGTTTATGATAGGAAATAAATAAGTATAAAATACTATCTCCTAATACAAGGTAACTGTAGTTTAGGAGAATGACCTTTTCATTGAATAGGATTCCATAATCATACCATGTCACTTTCGTCGAATCGATGTCCTGTAGCTCAATTATCCTGTCGGTTCTTTATCTTCTCCGCCGCCAAGTTAATTTGCTCCGTTGCAAAATTGTGCATCACTTCAAATCTTGTGATCTTGAACGTACTTCTTAGGCGATGAAGGCGCATCTGGAGGGCAACCAAATAAGAGTTGACGAGGCAGTCGAAGGTCATGACCGAGAGCATCTAGGATGGGGAACAGCCGGTAGTATCTTGGATAGCACTGCGATAGGTCAGTGAGAACAGGGGTTACTTCTGGCACCACACCTTTTGGTTTCTACAAAACATCAGCGAGAGCTTATTAAGTCTGGATCGATTAAACCTCTCTATCGTCTGATTTGGGATGCAAAGGTGTCGTTTGGGTTTTGTAGATGCCAAGTAACTTGTAGAATTCTTTAACTACAGCCGAGTCAAATTTCTTCCTTGATAGGAATGTATCTGAAGAGGCACTCCAAATCTGGAAATCTGCTGTAATTTTAACTCTTTGGTACCGTGACCAGCCTCTTGATCAGGAATAGCATGATGAAGTAATCAGTCAAGTTCAAGCCACTTGGTGAAGTAATCAGTGACAACGAGGATGTATTTGTTGTCATCAGCACGTGGCAGAGGTCCCAGGATATGAAACGCAATGCGCTCAAAAGGCGCTTTTACGTTGTAACGTCGCATTTTCCCTCGGCTGGGTTCCTTCAGGCCTTGCCGTCGCGCAAAAGCATGGCAAGATTAGCACCACTTTTGCAAGTCAGACCTTTTATTACTCCATTAGATATGCTCCCCAACTCTAAGCAATTTTCATTATTATAGACGGGATATATTATACACTTCCTGTCGGGCTGTTATGTATTTCTTTAAGGACATTCGGGATCTTCGGGGAATGGACATGTGCGTATACACCCAGTACCTCCTACATACAAAGCCACGGCACGGCTGACAATACGTCACTAAGTCGTCCTTATCTACAGACAGAATGGTTGCCACATGAAGCCACTTATCGCTGTTATTCCCTTAAGACGAGATGAAATGAAACGTAGTCCCCCCCTTGCAAAAGGCTTATACGTATCATTGTATCATTTGTATCATACTCGTATCATTTGGTTTTAAATAAATAAATATTTATATCCGATTTGCCCTTCATCGATTGCATTTCCTAATTTCAAATACGTATCTTAACTTTTCTTAAATAATTTTACACTTAAAATAATAGAACAGAAATTGATTTAACATACTTCAGATGGTGGTAATAAAATACAATGTTTAAGATCTGGCTGTTGCTGGTTTGTTTTTTGAATATATATTTCACTAAATATCCTCTACTAAATATTGTTAAACTAATATTGTACTAAATATTGTTATCCCCTTGCTAAATATTGATGCCTTAATAAAAAGGCAACAAACAATAATGCATAATGGCAAGTTAACAGTTGATTAAAACTAAAAATCCCTAATCCTAAATTTATTAATCATGTTTTATTTTTGCAATATCAGTTTTTAACAACATTTGCCTATTTACACATATTTGTTTAGTAATTTTTCGGTTTTGATCTTGTTCACTTTACTGTAGGATTGAATTTCGTAACAATATAATAAACCTGAAGTATGATATTGAATACTATTTTTGAGCATATAAAATACTATTTTTGAGCATATATTGGTATTTATTCAGTGTTCAATTTTCAATATAGGCGCAAAAAATTCCGTACATTTAAGCTTTTTCAATTATATTCCTATTTTTGAAGAATATGTAATTACATCTTTCTCAGTAACAAAAAAGGAAAATACCAGAGCATGAGGCAGATGTTGACAAAGTGGAGAGACGACTTTCGTGACGTTAGAGCGTTCAAGCAACCCTAGAGCCTTGGCTTTGTATGTAGGAGGTACTGATAGACCCCGACGTGAAATTGACCAATGTTCATGCGGGCTGGTAGGATGTCCGGATCACTCTATCCCGGCATCCTGCCTGAACATATCTACATGCAGACATTCTGGACATCTATATCTTTGGCTGCATTTTGAACTTTCGCCCCTTTCAATGAAGAACACTGCGGGTAGACAGTCACCCTAGCCCTTTGATTAATTAATCCAGCAACTAAATTGTTACTTTTGCTACTGATTTGACTGGCGTTTCTATGGCAAGCATAAATCGCATGATAAACAGCAGGAAAGAAAATTGTGGATTTTTCTACTCCGAGGGAAAAACGACGTCTGAAAGTCGGTACACGCAAGCCTGAAACAAACAACGTGATAAGCTTACCTTAGCAACAATACAAAGGAAAGTTCATGGTTCCTTTTTACTGTATGAGTCACGAAAAGTTTGTTCCAGACTTGTCTGGTTAGATTGCCATCGAGCTATAGCGCGATCGAGAAGGCGCAACACTGCTGTCTCGCGTTCGCAAGAATATTCTGCGCTGGCGACTTAAGTTTTATACAGGGTTAAGTAAAAGCAAACCACACAAAAAAAATCTACTTATTTTTAGCTTCTCACTTTGTTTCTTGTTTAGATAGACCAAATGTCTTTATCTCTGGAAGATTCTGAATTTAAAAAATGAGTTAATGATACAATTGCAAAAGTTTTACCAGATACTGTAAAGGCCCTTATTTTCGCGAAAACGAATATATCGGTGATTTCGCGAGCTGAAAATTTCGCGAATTTTATATGAACAGAATCGAAAGTTGAAAAATTTCAAAAGTACCTAAGTAAAGTTGAAAAAAAAAAAAGTATTTCGCAAAGTTTAAATTTTCGCGATTACGACGGGCTCGCGAAAAAAAGGGCCTTTACAGTAGCTCAATTTTATGCCTTAAGGCCATTCGCGGTAATTAAGTCAACTAGAATTCAATCACACCGCTCACCCAAAGGCGAAAATTTGGAAAAGTTAAGGGTTAAATTCATCAATTCTAATGAGAATGCACTAGCGAAGTAAAGCCCTGCGGTTTTACATAATTTCTGTGTAAGCTATTCATACGAATTGAAATAATTCTTGCATTTTAAACTTGTAGTCCAAATTAAGATTTAACTTGAAATTAACGCAGATAATTACTAAGAGAATTAGATTTTTGTAGAGCAGTTTACGTGAGATGAGATCACTTGGGGTCGCGTG